TCGGATAGAAGGGCATGTCCGACATGTGTAAGGGCATTATTGCTATAAATTTTTTCGACCTTGGGTGCAACACTGCCATACTCTGCAGCCTGGGTAATGGTGAGTCATAATTGTGAATTAGAAATATTAAATTACTATATGGAAGTATATTGATGCAAGCCTTCACTTGATAATATTTTGACTAACCTATTAATTTGGGAGGTTGAACAATTAATACTCATTCTTTCAAGAATATATGATACCAGATAAATTCAAATACTTGGTAAGGAATTCAAGTCATTATTTACTAAATTAAGCAGAAAATCAGAATCAAAGACAACTTTTAAATCTAATGCTCTCATATTTTGTGATTGGTGGTGTGTAAATAATCTCAAGGGATTCAAAAGACAACGAAAACTTCGCTGCATTTTTGGAATGAAATTAGAATTGCAAGCAAGGAAAATATTTTGTCAAATTCATCGAACATCTGGGCGATGACGCATTATTAACTTGCAAGCAACTATCAGATCACATCAGGAAGTGGTAAAATCAAAATAATACCTAAAATAACAATGAATTTATTCAATTCCTACCTGAAATCTAAGCATCCAAGATATACACAAAGTTTATACATCACAATTTAAAATTCTGCAATCTGGCTTGATAACATACGAGTATTTACAATGTCAATGGTACGATGAATTCCTTTCTAAACTCAGTTCAGCATATGTCCATCAGACCAAGTAAAATAAATCTGGCCACTTTAGAACCACTTTCTTGTCCTCGGTCTTGCCTAATATCAATAACCACGTTTTCCAACTAAGATTGTATTGTAACAATTAATAGTTCAACCTTGCTGTATACGCAATACTTCTCCTGGAAATCCTAGAATACAGCTTTCACCTGCTTATTTGCTTTCACTATCTCAAAAAAATTTAATCTCGTTCCCCGAGCCTGCGATCCTCGGGAAGTTTTTTCAGCAGTCATTCCACCTGGTAAGTACTTAGTCTTGCAGGGATATAATGGATCCGTATATATTATCTTATTCTGCAGCCATTACGGTGCATAACAACTGCTTGGGCATGCTGTTCAACTTTCTTTACCCGACTTAACCCACCTTAGTGGGGTAAAGAAAGTTGAACAGCCTGCCAAAGCAGTTGTAATCCGGCCTAAGTTGGTCTAAGTCGGGTAAAGCCTGCCTAAAGTATGTCAAAGTCGTTGTAAGGTGGGTTAAGTGGGGTAAAGAAAGTTGAACAGCCTGCCAAAGCAGTTGTAATCCGGCCTAAGTTGGTCTAAGTCGGGTAAAGCCTGCCTAAAATATGTCAAAGTCGTTGTAAGGTGGGTTAAGTGGGGTAAAGAAAGTTGAACAGCCTGCCAAAGCAGTTGTAATCCGGCCTAAGTTGGTCTAAGTCGGGTAAAGCCTGCCTAAAGTATGTCAAAGTCGTTGTACGGTGGGTTAAGTGGGGTAAAGAAAGTTGAACAGCCTGCCAAAGCAGTTGTAATCCGGCCTAAGTTGGTCTAAGTCGGGTAAAGCCTGCCTAAAGTATGTCAAAGTCGTTGTAAGGTGGGTTAAGTCGGGTAAAGAAAGTTGAACAGCCTGCCAAAGCAGTTGTAATCCGGCCTAAGGTGGTCTAAGTCGGGTAAAGCCTGCCTAAAGTATGTCAAAGTCGTTGTAAGGTGGGTTAAGTCGGGTAAAGAAAGTTGAACAGCCTGCCAAAGCAGTTGTAATCCTGCCTAAGTTGGTCTAAGTCGGGTAAAGCCTGCCTAAAGTATGTCAAAGTCGTTGTAAGGTGGGTTAAGTCGGGTAAAGAAAGTTGAACAGCATGCCCAAGCAGTTGTTATGCACCGTAATGGCTGCAGAATAAGATAATATATACGGATCCATTATAAGATATTATACGGATCCATTATATCCCTGCAAGACTAAGTGCTTACCCATATTTTACCAAATGTCGGCTTCCCAAATAATTACGTCATAATAATGCAATTGCAAAAGACAATAGTTGCGTCATCAAAGTAGAAAAAATATGCACAAAAAGTATCTCGAAATACTTGTTGCTTTCATCGTATTGCAGTTTTTCCTAAGTAGTGATAAGGCTTTATTTCTTAGGCTTGGCAATTCTGTTCATTACTTTGAGCACGTTATTAGTCAAGAAACACACATTTTTACCAAAATGATTATTAAAATAATACTATTAAAACCTTCCAGATTTTACCAATATTTTACCGAAAAAAACTTGTTACCAAATTTTCTTGAAAATTCACGAAATTTTACCAAAAAGTAAAACTTTTTACCAAATCTGGTCACACTGGGCCGCTCTGGGATAATCCGTTGCCGGAAGCCAGGAATCCTGGCTAAGATTGAACTGCGCCACAGACTGCGCATTCCATATCAACGGCCAATCAGATTCCTCCCGGAAACGGATTATCCCATAGCCTGTGTACCAGTCCACTACACCATTGCACACACAACGGTGTAGTGAACTGGAACGCAGGCTAATTATCCCAGAGCCTCACGTTCCTTCTCGAGGATCGCAGGCTCGGGGAACGAGATTGAAAACAATTGAGATCAAGCCTCGTACCCAGGCGCTTTGAGGGCTTTGATGTCGCGTGACGCGCGCGCACGAGGAAACGCGTGGGAAAATTCGGAAGGAAGCGTCCCGTAGTGAGCTACGCACCTCGATTCCCGCGCGTGTATCACGCAACCGCTTAGCATATCAAAGCGCCTGGGACGAGGCTGATTGAGATCATCGTCTAGCAAGTGAGCATGCGCGCAACTATAGTTACATGTAATAAAATAGATGGTTTGGAAACTGTCGACGTCATTAGAATAGCAATACAACATTATCTATGTTATGTTTGTGATGTTACTCTGAGTGTACATCCACACCGGGCGAGCTTGAAAAATATGCCCGGCCAAGGTGGGAATCGAACCTACGACCTTTGGAATACTAGCCCAATGCTCTGCCAACTGAGCTACGCGGTCAGGACGGTTCGAGTAAGTGATATTTCGGAACAGAATCTAGTTCCTCAACGGAATGTTTTGAAAGACTCGTGAGCACAATTTTACATGGTGATAAAATGGCGTATTTCTTATATTTTGTTTAGATTTTTTAGTTTCCTCTTGTTATAAAGGATTAAATTTATTATTAGTGGAATGGAAATGGCTTGGATGGAAGAGTAACAAGGCTGAATGGTTAACAAGCGACATGGGATGACAAAAAGGCGCCGAATGTGGACAAAGTTGTGGATTTACCTTGTCGATGGTTAAACAGGTATGATCTACTTGAAACCAAGTTGAAACTTGTTTAAAATGTTCTTGATACCATTATGTCTGAGATGATTTTATTTTTTTTAGGATGTCGACGAGATCGCCGATAAACAACGGAGTAAAGTGGAGAACTTGGCCAAATACATCTATTTGCAGGAGGTAGGCACATTTCAGATTATTTCGATCAGAAAATATTAACTATTTTACACCAAACCAGTGATAATATATTTAAATAAGTACCATTATGTTTCTATCAAGAAGATGTAGGGAAAAAGGTAATGTATGTCCACTGCTGTTTATCTGAAGTTGCAAGCCACAAATTGACGTTTAACTATTATTATTATTATTTAATCATATTTGGAAACGGTAGCTCTTCAGGGCACTTACGCACCTGTTTTTCAAGAGGTCGTTTGGTTAAAAATATTACATAATATAAATATACAGTACAATACAGATAGGTAGAACTACAGGCATGCATATATAACAATATAAGACGATTAGCCCTACCCCCCCCCCCCTACCCCCTTCCCCTTACAAACGAATGCACTAATTAAAGTTAGGTTAAGTGCATACACTTTAACGCGAGGAATAATGATCAAGAATGGACTTGAATTTCTGACTAGTAATTCCTGAACCTTTAGCCTCAAGAGGCAAATTATTCCAGGCCGAAGAGGCTGTATAGCTTATGCTTTTCTTCAAAAAATTTGTACTTGGTTTGTCGAGGGTGAAATCTCGATTGTTGCTACGGAGGTTATACCGCGAGTTTGTTTTAATATCAAACATATTCATCATACTAATTGGCAGTTCATTATTCCTTACCTTATGCATAAAAAATAGTTTTTTGTGCTTAAGGCGTTCTTTCAAGGGTTGCCAATGTAGTTCTTTTAAAACATCGCGTGATCTTGTTTCGTATGTTCCGCCAGTGATTACACGTGCCGCTCTGTTTTGCAGTTTTTGAAGTTTGTCAATTAAATAATCACGACAATTATCCCAAACAAGGCTGCAGTAGTCGAAATGTGGTAATATAATGGCATTATATACTTTTTTCAATGTTGTTTTAGGAATTATTTTTTTCATTCGCCGTAACATGCCGATACCTTTTGAGATTTTAGTCTGTATGTTTCTGTATGCCTTTCCCAAGTAAGATTCTCATCTATAACAACGCCTAGAGTTTTAGAATAGTATTCTATTAAGAAAACTTTATAATTATGGAATAAGAGGAAAATCATTTCAATGGTTCCAGTCCTATCTCTCTGATAGAGTACAAATGTGTAAAGTTAACCAAACATTATCTAACAAAAGAATCGTTAAATGTGGTGTGCCACAGGGCTCAAATTTTGGCCCATTATTGTTTTTATTTTATATAAACGATCTTCCAAATTGCTTGTCTTCATCGGCTGCTAGCATGTTTGCCGATGATACAAATATTTCTACACATGGCTCATCAGCGGCAGAAATTCAGGAACAACTAAACCATGACTTAGACAACATACACCAATGGTTGCTGGCTAATAAGCTTACTTTGAATAAAGAAAAGACCGAATATATGGTAATTGGGTCTAGACAAAGATTATCTAAAGTATTAAATGAGCCGGAAATCCACGTAGGCGAAACAACAATTAAATGAGTAAGCTATGATCAACGCAATCGAATGCTTTTTTTAAGTCAAGAAAGATAACACCATTCAAATTTCCCTTATCCATGTTAATAAACCATTGATTTGTAATGCTAAGGAGAGAAGTCTGCGTACAGTGTTTCTTTTTAAAACCAGCTTGTTGTTGTACAAGTGACCCATTCGTTTCAAGATAAGTTTCCAGTTGTTGGGTAATAAGTTTTTCAAAAATTTTGGCAACGCTAGATAGGATTGAGATTGGCCTATAGTTATTGCATTCAGTTTTGCATCCTGCTTTGTGTATTGGTGAGATTATTGCTGTTTTGAAATCGTTTGGGAATATACCTGTGTTTATGGATGTGTTGAATATTAATGAAAGAGAGTAAGATACTATATCAGCTGAATCTTTTAGAAGTTTATTAGATATTCCATCGTGCCCTGTTGACTTAGAAACGTTAATAGAAGACAGTATTTTATGAACTTCTATTACAGTAGCATTCTGTATCTGAAATTGTGAATTGCAGCTCGAAAGATATGTCTCGGGTGACCTTGTAGATTGCTCCATGTTGCTCGCTAAATTCATTCCGATTTCATTGAAATATGTATTAAAGATATTTGTTATAGAAGAGACATCTGTAGCACTTTGGCTTTCGTGCTTAACTTCTGTGATAATAGTCGTTTTCGAATTTTTATTGGTAAGCTTATTAATTGTTTTCCACATCTGTTTTGGATTATTTTCACAGTTGTTAAGAGTATTTGTAAAATAGTCTGTCTTTGTTCTTTTAATCAATTTGTTAAGCTCATTTCGTGCTTTGGTAAAAGCGTCATGAAATTGTTTAGATCCAGTTTTTACTGCCTTTCTTTTCAAGAAGTCCCTACGGTGCATCATATTTTTAATTTCACTGGTAATCCATGGAGCATATTCACTTCTTACTTTTTTAGTAATCGGTGGTGCATGCCTATCTGCCACCGTAAGAAATATGTGTTTCCATTCATCCCACATTTCATTTGGGTCATTAGTTATAGAAATTGTTTGCATATTAATTCCCAGATCTTGTTTGAAATCGCCGACATTGTAATTTTTAAATTGCCTTGTCTTAAGAGCGACTGTCCGTAAAAATCGAGCAAAATTTGAATTCTGCGGCAATACACGAAAAATAGATTTCGTTCATATTTTGCTCAAATTAAGGTAATACCTAGTTATAAATGGTGTTTGGGTTAGATTTTCAATATTTGGTCGATAAACGTACACATATCAGATATCAAGAATTTGTCTCCTGGAGGCTATAATGTCCGCAGACAAAGCCGCTGCCATGGTCAGTTTCATCACTTCGCGACGGATTTAAAACTGCCCGTAGATAGTTTTGATGGTATAATGACTATAATTCAAGTATTAAAGAACAATTTTATCAATCTGGAATGGCCCAGGAGGCTTTAGCTGGCCTCACAGACGTTGTTGAAATTGGCTATTTTTAGTCAAATTTTACAATTGCATTTTGTCACTGGATTTGAAGGGGAAATTCACTATGTGCGATAATCGTGAATTTGTTTATATTTCATCCACGGAATGGTATAGCATGAGTGCATGTTATATATAAAAACTAGCTTGGGTTATTGCCTTGGAGCCTCACGCGAGAATTTTAAAAAAGCTCATTTTGGTGATTTTCAGTGGAATGTAACACAATTAAATCATTAGGCCCATACGTCTATACCAGAGTCACGAAGCTCAAATTGTTCAAAACTTTGAATTTTGTGTTTCGATATCAATGGATATGCTTTGTATACTTTATAAAGAATCGTTTAGAAGGATTTTCAAGATATTTTAGTGATAGGCCTACTTACAACAAAAGCACAACCAATCATCATATAATTACTAGACGTTGCTATTTATATAGCAATTCGCGTGTTGTTAGGGGCGGACCATTAGAAATCCCGGGAGGTGGGGTAAAAATTCCCAAAAAAAAATTCGTGCAAAGGAAAATGCCTGGAAAAAAAATTCGTGTAGCCATTACGTCAGAGAAAAAAAATTCGTGCAAGCAAACAGCGAAGTACAAATAGTCTTGAAAAAAAATTCGTGCAGAGGTTAAATGCATTAAAAAAAATTCTTGCAGAGACACGAGACTGAAAAAAAAATTCGTGCCGCAAAAATTTTATACCCCCGCTCCCGGGATTTCTAATGGTCCGCCCCTTACTGAATGTATATTTAATATGTCTGCAGTCTGCATAGGCGTACCGGGCGGGGGACGGGGGGAGCGGTAGCCCCCTCCCCCAGTTTTTTGGGCAGTCGGGCAATTTTGGATTATAATAAAAAAAATTGGGACAAATTATGTCAATTTAGTCGAAAATTCAGTCAATTTTGTTGTAAATTTTGTGGTTTTTACTATGTGCGATAATCGTGAATTTTTTTTATATTTCGTCCATGGAATGCTATAGCATGGATACATGTTGTATGTAAAAACTGACTTGTGTTGTTGCCGTGGGGCCTCACGCGAGACTTTTAAAAAAGCTTATTTTGCGGTAGTTCAGTAGTATACGATCGTACTATAGTGGACCAGGAACTGCGTGACCCAGTTTCGATCTTGTGCAAATCGTTAAACGTTCATAACCTTCGAGATTTTGACTTGATCAACAAATAACTAGTCACTTGGGAAACTAATGTTCTCGAAGTTTGCAACGTAGACTGAGTTCACTAAGGTCTTAGGGTTTTTTCAAAGAGCGTCGCACCCTAACAACAACAACAACAACAACAACAACAACAACAACAACAACAAGATTAGCAGCGATTGCATGGGGACCAGTTCGTGGTCCAAAACTGACAAGTTGACAAAGATGAGTTTAGTTCTTAGATTATCTACAAAGCAAATCTATATACCTATGAATATATAAATAATTTTAAAATGTTTGTTAGTGGAATTTGGGAAATAAAATCAATGCCAATGTTGAGCGCTTTATAATGAAAAACTATAGCTGTCAACTGAATAATAACTGTATAAAATTTATAGCTGCCTCACTGCTCGTATATATATATATACAAAATAGAATATGACTGTCTACAAACAACAAGCAGTGTTATTTATAAGTTTACGTTTTATATTGATGGGGGGGGGGGGGG